AAGATCAGATTGATTTAACTCTGATTCTGGAGGGAGAGTATGGGAATACGGGAAGGGAGGCTGGATCTGTCCAGCACTGAGGATGGTCAGCAGCTGAGGAAACTCCTTTAAAAAGCCCTTCTGACCCTCTTCTCCCAACCCCAGTCCTAGCAGTCCAGGCATCACGTAAGTAGGATTCCTTTGTGCATGCCCTCAGCTCTTAGATTAGCTTCCCTAAACTTTTGGCTGACGACAAAAGTTCTGAAGTGTAGATTTGTCCTTCTTGATTTACTGGTGGAAAAAATTACCTTTAGGTTCTGCTTTTATGTCCTAGCTGCTCATTTATGGACTGACACGGGTAATGCCTTCCTGGCTGGACCTTCTTCCCCGCTTCCACCGTCACACACACACACTCACACACACACACTCACACTCACATAGACACACACACACATACACACACACACACACACACACCCCTCTCTCTCGAGCAGGTGCTTTTCCACCCCCTAATCCTGGGAGGCTCTAGATAGTAAAGGAACATCCTGTGCTCTGTCAACCCATTAAGCACTTTCATTGGCTTCCCTCTGGACAATATAATAATTTATTGAAACCCATTATAACTTGGAACATTGGATTCCTTAAATTAAATAGTGTCAGACAGCAGTGACTGCCACTTCCTAGGCTGGAAACTCTGGACAAGTTACCTAACTTCTTTAGTTTTCAGTTTCCTCTTTTACAGAGTAGGGCTAATAGTACCTACCTTAAAGTGTGGTTGTGACAATTTAAAGATTCTGTAGGAAAACCAATTAGCTTATGGCCTGATCACTATGTCTAGAATATCCTTTAAAAGAACTGACTTTATACTTTGTGGCTTCAGTCTTGAACAAAAAAGTTTATTAACTTTTAGAAATCATTTTTTCTTTGATTCCTTAAATCAGTGGTCCAAAGATCACTGTTTTTTTGGTACCAGAGACTGGTTTTGTGGAAGACAATTTTTCCATGGACTGGGGAGGTGGGGTGCAGGGAGATGGTTTTGGGATGATTCAAGTGCATTATATTTATCATGCACTTTATTTCTATTATTATTACATTGTAATATAAAATGATGTAATTATACCACTCACCATAATGTAGAATCAGTAGGAGCCCTGAGCTTGTTTCCTGTAACTAGACGGTCCCATCTAGGGGTGATGGGAGACGGTGACAGACCATCAGGTATTAGATTCTCGTAAGGAGTGTGCAACCTAGATCCCTCGCATGCGCAGTTCACAATAAGGCTTGTGCTCCTATGAGAATCTAATGCTGCTGCTGCTCTGACAGGAGACGGAGCTCAGGCAGTAATGGGAGCCATGGGGAGCAGCTGTAAATACAGATGAAGCTTTGCTCACTCACCTGCCACTCACCTCCTGCTGAGCAGCCCGGTTCCTAACAGGCCACGGACTGGTACTGGTCTGTGGCCTGGAGGTTGGTGACCACTACCTTAAATGACAAAACGTCATGTATTTATTATTGATATATGACAAATACTCAGTATTATTAAACATACTTGGTCATAGGCACCAACTTTAGGGACCAGGGTATTTTGGAGGGGGGCAGGACTAGTAAGAATAATCTTAGGAACAATAGCTTGAAATAGGGACCAGAGAATAGATCCTATAAAGTCAAAAGCAGGAACTTAATGATGAAAACTTAGGGTAGGGGGAGAGATTCAGGGTCCGCACAGGAAATTAGTTATCATTTTGGGATGTAGCATCTTTGGTATAAGTGGCAGTAAAGGGTGCTCAGATTACAGTGGGAATCTCAGTAATTCCCTCCCTAAGCAGCCTAATAGGAAGGATGACTCAGTGTGAAACATCCCTAGGTTGAGTGCTGGAGCAGCTCAGGGAAACTCGGATCAGTCCATGCATTATACTCAGAAAGACAGAGGTAGAAAAATCTACGGATTGGCACCTGAAATGATAAAATACAAGTATTTGCCTTCCTCCCTGAGTGTTTTACTCTTTCACAGTTTATTTTTATACATTTGAGATGATGTCGGTGCCCAGGATTTTCTAGTCAAGAAAGCGCTCATTTGGAGATCTCAGATATTTTTGGTTTGGCACACTTTTTATAGTAGTGGATTACTGAATTCCAGAGCATTTGAAATGACACAATTGATAGGATTTTTAGTGCTGAAAAAAGACGACTGTCCCAATATATATATAACCTTTCAGTGATGTTCTTTTTGTTACCATCACTAAGTTGGTGTTTTAAACTTATCCTTGTCTTCCTTTGTTTTCAGCTTCTTAAATGCTGCATTGAGAGGATGAAACAGAATGGGTATGAACAAGAGTTCCCTGAGAAAGGATAGCTCTTAGAGAGAGAGGATGCTTACTAGACTCAAGAAGATACCAAATCATGGTGTGCATTTCTGTGTTGTGTTTGGAAGAGGAACTGAGGGTTGTTATGAAAATGAAGGATGTGTTCAACTTAGAAGAATTAAACCTCAACCATATGTCTCTTTCAAATGGCATTCTTGATTCCAAAATCTTAAGTAGAGTGTAAAGTTATTGATGGATACTGTAGTAGCCAGGCTAAGCTGAGCTATTCAGTGGAACAGATAAACCTGAAAATTTTAGTGGCTTAACACAACAAGATTTGTTTCTTTTTAATATCACAGTCTGATATAGATTGGGTTGGTCTCCTGCTTGGCTTTCCATCAAGCGACAACTCAGGGATCCAAGTTGCTTTTATTTGGAAACTCATCTTGAGAGCATTTTGTTTCCAGCTGTATGGACAGGAGATACAGAAGGTGTGGAGAAGTGCATCCTTCCTGGATCACAAACGATACATCACTTTTGCTCACATTCCACTGTTAAGAATTAGTGACATGATCCCACTGGGATTCATGGGGTCTGGGATATGGAATACGTGGATATTTGGCAAGCATGAACAATCTTTGCCACAGAAACACTACCTCTATTATGTTATTCTGTATCCCTTATCTTCTCATGGTAGATTTTGCGTAGGATTAGTATCAGGAAAAGATTTTTCTCTCCTAAAATGTTGGTATTCTTTTTCTTTTCCTCTGGAGTCAGGAACTTTAGATTTAATATTAATAACTATCTAATCTGAGATTTTTAGTAGCATCATGTATCCTATTTCTCTATTGTGTTTCTGGAATAGTTTTATTTTTGTATTTTAACTGACCGATTGTATTTGATTTTTTAAAAATTGCCATAATCCTTTCTAATTTTAGCTGTTCGTTTAATGAACACTTACCAATAGCAGATGTATTGATAAGGATGAAGGATGTTTTTAGCTGCAACAGAAAAAACTAATAAATGGTTTAAGCAATAAGAGTTTTATTATCGGATACAAGAAGTCTGGCCGTTCCAGGATAGGTTAATTCAATGGTGTGATATCATAGAGGATCATGTATACTCACTTTTTCTGTTTTATACACTTCAGCATTTGACGGAGTCTCCCCTTCCTGTCACATACAGCTCAGTAGTTCCAGATGTTGCTTGCCATGGTAGACCCTAGTCAGGCCTGGGTCTTGTGACACAGGAAACAAATATGCTCACTGGTTGTCATGAAATGGTTGCAGTGTGGTGCCACCAGGCATGCATCACACCTACTCATCGTATGATATTAGATTATATAATCTGTGGAAAATGTTGCAAAATGATGCTAGTGGAAGGGTCAGAAACTATATCCAGACTTGGATGTTAGATCCAGGCAAATGACTTGTTGAAAAGAGATTTCTCTTTAGAGAGAAATCATGTTGGTGTACCAGGTAACATGTTTGGTTGTGGGGAGGGTGGGGAACTGCTTGGATAGCATGGTAGTGATAGAAGTGGTGACAAGCTGGATGCTGGATATAGTTAGAAGGATTAACTGATCAATTGGATGTGAGGAGTGATATAGAGAGAGATATTGGGAATGACTCCAAGTTTTGGCCTGAGTGATGGGAAAAATTGAGTTGCTATTTATCAAGATAGGGAAGACCAATGAGTTTGGTGCTGTCATAAAATAAAATGTATCAGATTTTTAGTAACAACTGGAAGTAAGACATTGCAAGGACTCAGGACTGGGCTGAGATAGAGTTCAGACGGGGAGCTGGAATCAGAGTGCTGCCCCAGGTCCCGTGACCCTGCCAGGCAGAAAAGACACTTGGCATGGGCAAGGACTCCAGTATGCCAGAGCCTCTTCCTCCTTTCTCAGGCCAAATTTGTGTCCTTGCAAAATTTGGCTACAGATGTTAAATTTACAAAGACCTCTGATACCCATTATCCCACCCAACCCTCTGGAGAGCCTTTGTAATGTGGTAACTGCTCCTATGCACATAGCCAAAGACTTGAAAACAGTCTCAGAAAAGCTGTAATTTCTACATTCATTCATTTAATGAACAGTTACTAAACACTTATTTCTTTATTTTTATTTTATTTGTTTATTTTTGAGGCAGAGTCTCAGTCTGTTGCCCAGGCTGGAGTGCAGTGGCATGATCTCGGCTCACTACAACCTCTGCCTCCCAGGTTCAAGCGATTCTCCTGCCTCAGCCTCCCAAGTAGTTGGAACTACAGGTGTGCACCACCACACCTGACAAATTTTTGTACTTTTAGTGGAGACAGGGTTTCACCATGTTGGCCAGGCTGGTCTCGAACTCCTGACCTCAAGTGACCTGCCTGCCTCTGCCTCCCAAAGTGCTAGGATTACAGGCATGAGCCACTGTGCCTAGCCCCAAACATCTATTAAGTACTTGCTGTATATGGTGAAATAAACCCCAGCTCTCCTGATTGAAGGCTAGTGTTCTTTTCACAAATCTTCAATACATCAAGTCCTACTTCTCTTTCTTTCTGTATTTAACTCATAAATATTCCTCTTCTGTCATTTGTGGTTTTGAAATGTCTGCAAACTCATGGATACTGTTTACTTCTACTGAATAGAATAAAGCAGAAGTGATGGAATATAACTTCAGAGGCCATTTCCTAAAAGCCACTGTGGCTTCCTACTTGTTCTCTTGCTCTCTCTCTTAGATCACTTGCTCTGGGGAAAGCCAGCTGTCATATTGTGAGCAGACCTATGAAAAGGCCCACTTGGTGAAGAACTGAGGCCTCTGACTGATGGACACATGGGTGACCTTGCAATCAAGTCTTCTGGCCCCAACCAAGCCTTCAGCTGAGACTGCAGCCTCATGAAAGATCCTGAGCTAGAAGCATCCTGCCATCCTAATAAGCCACTTGAATTTCTGACCCTTAAAAATTGTGAGATAATAAGCACCTGTGCTTTTTTTAAGTATTAGGTTTAAAAAATGCTGAAAAAATAAAGAAGAAAAAAGACAACTCATAATCTCACCACATTAAAAAGAATAGCTATAGAAAAATTCCAGTAGTATAAAAAATAAAAATGGAAATAACTCCCCACCATCCCCGATCTTTAGTTCTTTTTCCCACAGTGACATTTTCTTTCCCAAGACATGTTCATGCATATGCAATATATGTATGCAATATATGTGTAAACTCTTTAAGATGTTCACAAAAGGATCATGTTACACTCACTTGAAAAAATATTATATATTGAAGATGTCTTCATATCAGTATATATACATCTATCTTATTTTTAAAATAGATTTCCCATAATTTAAATGTACCATATTTCTTTTACCAGTCCCCATATATGGACATTTAGGATATTTCCAGTATTCTTTTCTGTTATAAATATGTGGTGATAAACACATATTTTGAGTACCCTCAAGTAAAGTCCTATAGGTAGCATTCTGGCATCATGTTGTATGTGCATTTAAAGTTGATGCTATTTACTTGTTCCACAATCTTTGCTCTGAGTTTACACTGATGAAGCATGGGAATGCTATATCCCCACAAACCTGTGCATAGTGTTGATAGTAGGCATTGTTTGCTATTTTCTGACTGTTTATTTTTTTTCTTTTGAGAATTGCCATGCCTAGAAGAGTGCTGGTCTTATAATATACAAGATAATAACTTGATAGCTAGCATTTCTGAGGCTTCTTGTGCTTTGCATATATTTACTGTTTTGATACTTACAAAGACCCTATGAAGTTGGTACTATTATTACCTGCTTATGGTTGGTGGGAAAACTGAGCCATAGAGAAATTAAACAGACTGTCCCAGGTCACACAACTCGGAAGGGTGGAGCCAGGATGCAAATGATATGGAATTTTAAAAAATGAGTAGTTGAGTGAATGAATAAATTGATGACCTGTTTACATCTTTTCTTATTTTTTAATTGAATTTTGTTTCTTTTTCTTTCTTATTTGTAGGATCTTTGTATATATTATGAATGTTAACTTTCCTATTCTACATGTTGCAGATATTCCCTCTGGTCTGTTATTTGTCTTTAACTCATTTATTTGCCACCTTTTGATATTCATTTCTTATTCACATTAGAAAACCCTCAAAGTAGTTAAAAATATGACCCCAGATATTGTTGTTAGAACATATTTGAGGAAAATAGTGATGATTTAGGTGTACAGATAAATTCTGATGTGGGTAATGCAGAGTCTCACTAAGTTCATCTAAATATGAAAAATAACCACAGGGGAATTAGTTGCTTTGTTCACACTGTAGTACTTTAACATTACAATTCCCCTTCAGGCATATTTATAATTGAAAAAGAAGGTGTTGGGGGCTTTTATATTATTAGATTGACATTTGGGGAAATGAGTTTTTACTTTATCTGCAACAAATGAATCCCAATTAGTTAAGTGGCTCTGGGCTAAAGGAACTATAGCGACTTTCTTTGTCATTTTCTTTCTACTTTTTGATATGCCCTTCCTTCCCATTCCTATGAACTCCTCTCATCCTGCTGAGCCAAGTCACATTTCCCTTTGCTTGAGGCTTCTAACCCTTCTCTGATGTCCTGAAGGATTCATCAGGGAGACTCTGTGGCAAACGTCTTTCTTTCCCGTGACAGCCCCACATTTGATTAGGTGTTCACTTTCCATCCTGTGTCCTCAGGAATGTGATTATATATCTAGCTTCAGAGTTTAAGTTTGAATTAGTCTAAGCCTAAGCCAGTGTTCTCAAACTCTAGCATGCATGAGATTCACTTGGGGAATGTATTAAAACACAGGCTGCTGATCTGCACCCCCAGAATATCTAATTCCATAGGTCTTGGGTAGGGCATTTCTATCAAGTTTTGAGGGAATGCTGATGCTGATGGCCCAGGGACCAAACTTTGAGAATCAGTGGTCTAAGCCAGTCACGATGATCCAGTATTGTCTGCCCAGGATTCATTTAGGAATGGACGCGTGCCCCAAATCCTGGTCCATGGCACTGAGGGGACGTCTTCTGTAGAAGGGTTGTCTCACTAATAAATGCATGGATGGAGACTCTCCTCCTTTGCTGGGTATATTCCTGGGTTTTTGTAACATTTGGAAGTTCTGTGTTCAATTTGTGAGCAGAAGGAAAGACTTTCATAAATTGAGGATTGCAAAGTGAGAAGAGTGGAGAGGATCTTGGTCCTGGAGGATGTAATTGTGCCACTGAAGAACCAGCTCTGGATCCAGCCTAACCCTGAGCTTTTTAGTAGAGCCATCATAAATACTTTGTGGAGTTTTATTAATAATTTGTATTAAGCATTAAATAACATTAAATCTATAAAATACAGATAATAACAATATATGAACACTCATTCACACAAAGCCTAGCATAAGAAAATAATATTGCCATTGCCCTTGTGGTCTCCCAAAGGCAATAATGGGTATTGAAGGTAATAAGGGGATGGAAGCTCCTGCTTCCCCTAACAAAATTTCCATCCCTGTAAAATTTGTATACACCATTCTCTGGCTTTGTGTGTGTGTGTGTTTTCAGTTTGTTAGTTTTTTAATTTTTTTAACCACATGTATTTGTATTCTTAAAAGTTTATTACTTACTTTTGCCTGGTCTTCAATATTGTACACATGGTTTCATATTGCATATTTCTTTTTAAACTTGTTTATGCAGGACATTATATTCCTCAGATCCATTCATGTTGTTATTGCAATTTATTTGCTTTTACTGCTATATGCTGCTACGTGACTATTCTACTGTTAATGAATATTTTGACTGTTTCTAGAGTTTTCTATTCTTTCTGTATTTCTCCCTCTCTTTCTCTCTGTTTTTTTTTAGAGTCAGGATCTTGCTCTGTTGCCCAGACTAAGGTGCAATGGCATGATCATAGCTCACTGCAGCATCAAACTCTTGAGTTCAAGCCGATCCTCCCATCTCAGCCTCCTAAGTAGCTACAGGAGAGCACCACGACTCCTGACTATTCTTTTTTAATATTAAATTATTATTATTTTTATTTTTCAAATTAAAAAAAATAGAGACAGAATCTTGCTATGTTGCCCAGGCTGCTCTCAAACTCCTGGGTCAAGTGATTCTCCTGCTTTGGCCTCCCAAAGTGCTGGGATTACACGCATGAACTACTGTTTGTTCGCTTGCTTTCTTTCTTTCTTTCTTTTCTTTCTTTCTTTCTTTCTTTCTTTCTTTCTTTCTTTCTTTCTTTCTTTCTTTCTTTCTTTCTCTCTCTCTCTCTCTCTCTTTCTTTCTTTCTTTCTTTCTTTCTCTCTCTTTCTTCCTTTCCTTTCCTTTCTTTCTTTTTCTCCTCTTTCCTTCCTCTCTTTCTTTCTCTTTTCTCTTCCTCCCTTCCTTCCTTTGCCCTCTCTCCCTTCCTCCCTTTCTCTCTCTCTCTCTCTCCTCTCTCTCTCTCTCTCTGTCTCCCTCCCTCCCTCTCTTCTTTCCAGGGTCTGGTTACCCATGTGATGTCGGCTCACTGCAGCCTCAACTTGCCGGGCTCAAGCAGTCCTCCCACCTGAGCCTTCCAGGCAGCTGGGACTACAGGCACACACCACTGTGCCCAGCTAATTTTTGTATTTTTCATAGAGATAGGTTTTGCCACATTGCCTAGACTGATCTCAAACTGCTGAGCTGAAGCGATCCTCCTATCTTGATCTCCTAAAGTGCTGGGATGACAGGCTTGTACCACTGTGACTGGCAGTCTCTTATTTCCTGTGTTGAACATGTGAGAGTGTTTTTCTAGGGCAGCATTTCTCAAGTGATGTGCTTTGCACATTGCTGCGCTGCAAATGGGTTACAGGGGTGTGGAGATACTGATTTCCTCTGTCCCTTGGGGTGACTGGGCAGGGCCTGAGCAGTGATAGCCCTGGAGCCTGTCACCCCCTGGCCCAGTCAACTCTGGTTCAGAGCAAGGAAGCCTTCTCTAAAGATGGAATTGCTGGGCTTCAGGAAGGTACTTTTCAACCCTGCTAAGGATGATTCCCAAAATGCTTGTATTTATTTATCGTCTTTCCATGGAAATAAGTGTTCTCTTGTTCTACATCCTTGAGAATCCTTGCTATCTGACTTTAAAATTTTTGACAATATGTTGTTGTGAATTATTTCACTGAGATTTTAATTTGTATTTATATGATTATATTTTTGTATGTTCATTAGCTATTTGGCTTCCTTCTCTGAAATACTTACTCAATTTTTCTGCCTGTTTTTTTTCCTATTTTTTTTCTATTGGATTCTGTGAATTTTACTTATTTATTTTTAGAAGTTCTTTATGTATTTTAGATGTGAATTCTTTAATAATTATATGACTTACACAGATCTTTCAGTGAAGACTTAATTTTTGACTCATTTTATTTTGCCTTTTGTTGATTGAATTTCTTAATTTTAAGTTACTCAAATTTATTATTTTCCTTTATGGCTTCTGCTTTTTGTGTCTTGTTAAATAAATCCTTACTTTGAATACACATTATCTTCTAACAATTTTATAATTTTGCCTTTCACAGTTACCTGGAAATTATATAATCTACCTGGAATTGGTATGAGGAAAGAGGTCCAATTTATTATTATTACTGTGATTATTATTTGAGGCGAGGTCTTGTTACATTGCCCAGGCTGCCTTTGAACTCCTGGACTCAAGTGATCTTCCTGCCTCAGTCTCTTGAGTAGCTGTGACTACAGGTGCACACCACCTTGTGCAGCTTTTACTATTTTTTTGATACCGTTAACCAGTTATCCTAGGAGTATTTATTGGTGTCTGTCCTCTTCAGTGATCTGTTGTACCAGCTCCATCATATCAGGTTTCCATATGTGTGAGAACTGTCTATCCCTGCACCAATACCAGTATCTTAAAGCCTTGTAATAATTTTTGATATCTGGTAAGATAAGCCCCTTCACCTCCAACTTGTTCTTCTTTATTGCTTTCTTGGCTATTCTTAGCCCTTTGCTCTTCCATATTTTTTTAGAATCATGTTGTGAAGATCTAAAAAGCAGTGTCTTTTGGGAATTTGATTAGCATTACATTCAAACCGTGGATTGGTGTGATGAGAATTAACTTTTTTTTTTTTCCCCCTGAGACAGAGTCTCACTCTGTTACCCAGGCTGGAATGCAGTGGTGTGATCTCAGCTCACTGCAACCTCTGCCTCCTGGGTTCAAGCGATTCTTCTGCCTCAGCCTCCCTAGTAGCTGGGATTACAGGTGCACACCACTACGTCGGGGTAATTTTTGTATTTTTAGTAGAGATGGGGTTTCACCATGTTGGTCAGGCTGGTCTTGAACTCCTGACCTTGTGATCTGCCCATCTTGGCTTCCCAAAGTGCTGGGATTACAGGTGTAAACCACTGTGCCCAGCCTGAGAATTAACATTTTCTAATCGGTCATTATGATATTTAGCCTTCTTTTTTTAAAATGAAGTTTTATAGTTTTATCAGAAAGGTATTGCTCATCTTCTAATAGGTTTATTATTAGGGCCTTTATATGTTTTGGTGCTATTATATATGGTATGTATTCATTAAATATTTCCTTTTTGTTGATAGTGAATGGAAATGCAATAGATTTTTATACCTTGATTTTGTATTGTTCAACTTTGCTAAACTCTCTTATTAATTATTATTAACTCTTTTATTAACTCTCTTACAGGTTATTCAGTCTTTTACATAGACAGTTACATCATCTGTAAACAGGACTGTTTGTTTCTTCCTTTTGATTCTTTATTTGTTTTTCTTGCATTACTGCACTGGTTAGGATACCCAACCAATGTTGAATAAGAGTAGAAGTACAGGCGCTCTTGTCTTGTTCCTAACCTTACAGTGAATGCTTTTGGTGGTGTTTTTTTTTTTTTTTTTTTTTTTTTTTTTTTTTTTTTTAGGCAGTCTTGCTCTGTTGCCTAGGCTGGAATGCAGTGGCGTAATCTTGGTTCACTGCAACTGCTGTCT